TTTTTTGTGAGGTATTCAATATTCGACTGTGCTAGCTTTTTTTTTTTAGCTTTCCCTGTTTAATTTTTTTTTTGTTGCTGCTTAGCTAGTTCCAAATTTATATTTATTGACTTTTTGGGGACATGTCGCTCAAATCGACTATGTTGCCGAGTCATTAAAGTTTTATAAGCATAACAAAAAGGTTGTGAGTATATACATACAAATATATATGTTTATTTAATATGCAAGGAATATAAATCTGAGTAAATATATAAAAGGGAATATATTCGTATGCATATGCCTAGCGGGCATTATCAATTTAGTATTTAAATTATTGAACAATAGAAATATTCTGCGATTTAAATAACATTTTGTAGGACTTTTATATTTTATTCACAATTCTATAAAAAGAAGTATATGAAGTGCTATGCTTTAGATCTTTATTTATTTAAATAGATTTTAGAAATTTTATGTTTTAGTTCTATCAATTCATTTCATAATAGCAAATTTTTACAGGGTTCTACGTTCTTTTCAGTTGCTTCCCGAAAAGTTATAAAAATATAACTTCAAATTAACACACTATATTCTATGCCTCTCTGCTTCTATTTAAGTAGAAAATTTTCATTTTAATTTAAGTGAAGAGTAGCCTTATGAAACCATTTTAATTTTAAATACATCAAAATACTTTCATTCATAATAAATTGTTATAAAGAGTAAAATAGATAAATAAAAGATTAGACAAACTACTGAGCAGATAAACTCGAATTGAGTAATAAAACTAATAAATTATTATCATTATATTTTGTTATCTTCATTTCCCTTACAAGCAGCTTCTAGCTGTCAAAAATTCAAGTCCTTCAGCTCTGTTGAAACGGTGGAATTTTTAAAAATATTTTGGCGCCCCTCGATTGCCGCTATAGTGTTGCAACCCTTTGCAAATGTATTTTCGTTTTCTTTTGTTTTGTTTTTTCAATGTCAGTGTTCGGCGTTTGCTAACACTGACAGGCTGACACAATGTATTTTGGGGCTCACAACACACACATGTGTGCTGCACAAGTGTGCGTGTAGTTCGTAAAAAAAACTCGCACAGCTAGTCATTCAGAATAAATAAACAAATAACCGAACTAAACAGCCAAAGGAAAATGTCGACAAGTAAAAGCAAGCATCGAGAATGCAACAACGACAGTCCCATCAAAATGCTCGAGAAGCCAACAGATGACCAGTCGGATGACCAGGCCGGGGACAGTCCGCCAGTGTTGAGTCCTGACCAGACACAAAGTAGCGCTCAATTGGATTTATTAGAGTTTCTGAACACGCTTGAGGAAGTGCCCCACGAATTAGAGAGCCTTAGTCCGTCAGAGACCATCATCCTGGCGGATGGGGTTACGAGCATCGAAGTGAAGCCGCTAGTGTCACAAATGTCAGCCATGTCAGCCATGTCCGCCATGTCAGCTATGTCAGCCATGTCATCCATGTCATCTATGCCTTCCATGTCATCTATGCCCGTGCCTTCCATAGCACCCGTTCCGCCCCTGCCACCCGTGCCCTCCATACCAGACGTGAGCGCTCTGAAGCCCATTGCGCCTCCTGCATCGAAGCAGCCGCTGCAAACGCTGCTGAGCCACCACTTCACCCACAAGCTGCATTTGGCGGCGAGCAGCGAGCACGTGCCGTTCATCAACTGGACGACGGACGGTAAGCATTTGCAGCTGGACTATATCGGGCTGCAGGATCATCTGACCGGCAGCCAGTGCATGTTTCGCAGTCGCAGTGTATTGCAGTTCACCCGCCAGCTGACGGACATGGGCTTCGAGCGGACGCTGCTGGAGCAGGAGCAGCAGGAGCTGGAGCACGGCGGCCGGCTGCACCTCTACTACAAGCATGAGCACTTCAATCCCTACCATTCGGAGCAGCTGCTGCTGATACCGACGCCGACGCCACAGAGGGAGCGGCAGCCAGCACCAAAGACGCAAAGGACGCGCAATGCATGTTTACCCAAAGGCGGCGGCAAGGAGCCGCCACATCGGAGCGCCTATACGCCGCTGCAGCTCGCTCGCTTTCGTTTCCACACCCTGCTGAACTACCACAACGATGTGCGGCTGCTCCAGGAGCGGGAGCCCATCGCCGAGCAGCTCCTGCCACGACGCGGACGCATCAGCAGCAGTCGACAGGCGGCGCAGTCGGCTCTGGCGCCGGCGCTGGCCTCCAAGCACATAAATCCGCGCGACTCTGTGCTGCACTTCGACGCCGGCAAGGTGCCCGACTATGCTGGCTTCTATGGCCCCGTGGAGCCGCCGCTGATCAGTGAGTTCTTTGCGGAGTATCTGCCGCGCTACGGCGCCAGCACCAGTGGCTACAAGGACATCGTGGTGGATGCCAGCAAGGCCAACTCCTTCCAGCAGAACTTGCCCATCGGCGTCGCCTACTCAGAGGATGAGGATGACGTCATCGAGAGCGGCAGACACGAGCCGAGCACGCCGAGTGCCGTGAGCGAACCGGATCAATCGCAGGCGAGCGAGAGCTTCCATCTGCCACCCGAGGATATCGAGCTGGAGCAGGTCATGCAGGAGCTGTGCGAACAGGCGGACGGAGATGTGGATGTGGAGCTGGAGTTGGATGCCGAAAAGAAGGAAGTGACGCCAGTCAAGCCCAAGCTCAAGCGAAAAAAGCTGGCGAGAAAGTGTGCCATGACGGATGCCGAGCTGGAGCAGGAGCCCGTGGATGAGCACTGTGAGGATCTGTTGCAGGCAGCTGCTGCCGCTGCGGCCTGCATCAAGGAAGAGCCCAAGGACAAGGACGAGGACAGCAGCAGCAACAACGAAGCAGACAAGGAACTGAAATGCCAGCCAGCCACAAAGATTGGAGTCAAGCGACGTCGCTACGATCTGCGCAACTCCAAGTCGAAACGAGCTCGCTGAGAAAGCCTCAGGTTTGCTTTCTTTTTTATTTATTGCATTAAAATAAAAATATTTCATAAGTAACAACATTAAGATTAACAATAATGTTTAATGTTTAAACTAAGGCGCTTAGCATAAAAAATAAAACCCGTTTTAAATTTAAACTTTAGTTTTCAGTAAGATATATTATATACATATATAGTTAATTTACAGTTATGCATTTGTTAAATATTTTTAGTGATACATTTCTCCTGTGATATAGAGTACTCCATACTCAAATGGAAACGACTCCCTCCAAAGTCAAGCTCTGAGCTCTAAGCTCAAGAGTTTTTTAGATTAATTAATAAATAAAATTTATTGATAAAATATATTGAATATAAATATGTTTCGTAAATTTATATCTGAAACATACAAATATATTTATTAATACTAAGCTCTGATCTCTAAGTTGAAAATTCTTTTTGGTTAATAAATAAGAGAAAATGAAATTGAAAGTATGTTGTAATGCAAATATTTAATTAATTGGTTATATGGAAACTAGATATATTTAAATATATATATATATTTTTTTTGTATTGAGT